TGTATGTTCACTGCCTTAAGTTGTTTATTAAAACATCATAAAGGCAGGATAAAAATATTTTTTTAAAATTAGTAATTCTTTCTTTTTTGAGGCTTCTGCTGAAGAACAAATGTAGGTAGGCTTGTGGGACCTATTCTTTCAGCTAGAATTTTGAATTCCCAGGGGAGCCAAAGGTGAAGTAGCGATTTAGGTAGGCACAAAATACTGGGTATTGCATTAGCCTATAGGCCTTCCTATATTGGAAGACCTTCAAATTCTGACCTCCCTTTCAGTTATTACAAATTGTACAGGGAGTCCCCAGTTTAAGAATGAGTTCCATTCCCAAGATCTGTCCTTAAGTTGAATTTGTATGTAAGCTGGAATAGTATTATTGTATAATGCTGTCTAAATCAGTGTTTCTCAACCTTGGCAACTTTAAGATGTGTGGACTTCAACTTCCAGGATTCCCCAGCCAACTTTGCTGATGCACAATACTGATATAACTAGTATTGTGTAATCAACTCGAACCGTTGTGTATTAATTCGAATCATTGTACATTTAACTCGAAGTTTGCTATAATAGGCTCCCTTCTGAACTATGGGTCATGTGTAAACCAGGTGTTCTTAACCTGGGAATTTAACCTGTATTCTAACAATTGGAGGGGGGAGGCTTTTTTTTTTTTTTTTGGTGATAATGTTGGACATTTGGGGAGTTGAAAAGCCAGGTCAGTATAGTCCAGGTCATCCAGCAATCTATAATAAATCCTCATAGGTCACTCTGTGGTGATCAGTTATTCCTCTGTATGAATCTGGCCTTGTCAGCAGCTTCCCAGGCATGCAGACCATCCATCCTATGCAAGGGATCCATAATAGGAACATACAGGCATTTACCAACGAACAAGTTGCTTTGGAAATGTGTTGCAAGTAGAAGTTTGAAAATGAAGAAGCTGTCTGTGGAAGGAGGATATACAGAGAAAAAGGAAAATGGCTCTTGTTTAAAGCCACTCGCCTCTCTACATGGGTGCAGCCATCTGCACTACTGAGCATACACCGACAGCGTGAAGAGCAGTGGCTATGATGGTGGAGAAGGTGTGGTACACAAAGGAGGGGAAGAAGCTGGGAGAATGTTGACTAGTGCCAGGAGCCAGTGGGTTTGATGGAGCCGCAGCAGCAGCCGAAGCCTTGGTGGCAGTGGCTGATGAGGGCAGCTTTGGTTGGAGAACCTCTGAGGGGCAGCTTGGGAGGGGAGCAAGGTCAAGAACCCCAGGTGGGTGCAGCAGCACCTGGAAGGATCAGACAGAGCTGTTGCATCAGAGGCTGGAGAAAAGACGGGGGGGGGGGAATAGAGGCACAGGAAACAGCTTTGGACTCTTCCTTTTTCCCTCCCCTCAAGTTTTGAAAAAGCCTGGAGTGTTGGCAAGATTCAAGCATTTGAATTACATGAGACTCATTTTCGGGCAGGTTATTAGAAAGGCTGTATTCAGCCAGAACTGTAAATGCTTTAATACAAACCCCTTCAGTCACTCTAGAAATCTGTGCAGCTGTTCTGGTCAAAAGAGAGGAAATAACTCTCTTTTGAGAGGAACAAAGCATCCCTCAAAAATGCCACGGGCAGTCTTCCCTGAAAACTGATGTTGCTGCATGCCTGCTGCAGGCCTGATCAAGGAATGGCACATGCTCAGTGCAGTGGTGAGGAGTCATTACTTGCTCCCTGGAGGGGCAAGGGAAGAGCCATCCTCAGATCCCCTGGGCTTCCAGACAGGTTTAGTTATTTCTTGGGCAATTCGGCTGTTTTATGGATCCTAGGCTTTGGAACGCTTCTGCTGCACTCAAGGCATTTAACCTTGGCTTTTGGTACAGTTACTGTCCCGGCAGAGATACTGAACAATCCCATTTGTTTGCAGGAGGTTCTTGGAGAGGATAAATTGAAAGCCATCTTGAAAGAGCGGGAGCTGAAGATTTACTGGGGAACCGCCACGACGGGCAAGCCTCACATCGCATACTTCGTGCCCATGTCCAAGATCGCAGATTTCCTCAAGGCTGGCTGTGAGGTTGGGCTGGCTCTGCCTTTGGTTTGGACCCTTTGGCTGTTAGGGAGGAGTCGTGTGGTTGCTGCTGCCATATGGGGCAGGAGGGCCTGTGGAGTATCAGAGACCTCTGGAGAGGGAGATGTATGTGCAGGGATGCCAAAGGGAATTGAAGGAGCCAAGGCAAGGAAGCAGATGTTGTGTCCCTAAAGGTTTCCCTTAGCGTGTCTCTTTGGACCTCTCCCCCTGTGTGGGGTTGTGGGTCACTGGATAAACAAAACCAAGCTGTATCTTGGGCGGGAGGGGAGGAGGAAGCAGAAGAATAGTCTGTGCCTTGATAAAGTGATGTCTCTTTAAGTCAAACTTGACTCCTGCTGACTTAGTGGACATAGTCATCTATCTTCCTTGAACCAAACTATTTAAACTATGACCTGAAGCTCACAATTGCACAGAAATCCTAAATTCGTGGGAATTAACTCCCAAATCACCTCATGTTCTCAGGATTTTTATTCATTCAGCAAATAAAATTTGCTGCAGTTGGTAATGATAACATTTTCTGCAGTGGTCAGCAGGCAGCAGTACAAAGTAGAGGGGACTGTGATTTTTCAGGTTTGGAGGAAGGGTTGAGCCTTTAGAGTGTCACAGTCCAGTTGGTGGTGGTGGGAGCTGCGCTTTAGTTTTAGGGTTGGTGGAATCTCCAGGGCTTTCAAGATGGACAGTCATTGACTCTCTCTGTTGTTTTCTGTCTGAAGATTTTGGGGAAGGAGCAGACTTAGCCTTCCCCCAACTCAGTGCAAGGCAATCAGTGGGAATCATGTGACAACCCATTTCTGACCCCATAGCTGCCCAAACCTTGTAGTCCTTGTCCCCCCCCCCCCCGTTTGGGGGTGGTTTAAGGAGTGAAAAGGGTGCCTTGGAGTTATGCAGACCTCTTCAAATGCCATCATCCCCAAAACTGGTTGATCTTTCATTCTGATTTTGGCTTGTGATGTCTCTGGCTGCACAGGCACACAGGTAAGGTAGGACACGTTGCCTACCCCTGCATAGCCAAAAGCACTGCAGCCCACATGCTTCTCTCCCTCAGGTGACCATTCTGTTTGCTGACCTCCATGCCTACCTTGACAACATGAAGGCTCCATGGGAACTTCTGGAGTTGCGCACTCAGTATTATGAGAATGTCATTAAGTCAATGCTAGAGAGCATTGGGGTGCCTCTGGAGAAGCTCCGGTTCATCCGAGGGACTGACTTCCAGCTCAGCAAGTAAGATTGATCAAAGAAAAGGAGTTCTGGGGGGGCAGAAGCCTTCCTCTTTTTACAGGTAGTTTCTCTATTCGACCGTTCATTCAGCAACCATTCGAAGTTACAACAGTGCTGAATGAAGGGACTTACGACCTGACCCAAAGTTACAGCAATCTGGGCCCTTACGACCAGTTGCCAAGCGCCCTGCAGTCACGTGATTGCCATTTGCAGTCTTCTCTGCCGCCTGCCAGGAAAGCAGCTGGCAGGGAAGGTCACAAGCCGCTGCTGCCTGCCGAGAGGACTCCCTCTCATCTCTGAGGGCTGCCTGAAAAAGCTCCAAGGATTTCAGCACAGGGCATTGTCAGGCAGCCCTGAAAGCTTTCGTGCTGAAATCCACGTAGGATTTTAGCACGGGGGAGTTTAGCTCACAACCATCAAATGCAGAAATTACAATAAAATCAAAAAAACATAAAAGATAGAAGATAAAAGATGCCAAGAGCGCCAGGCAGATGGAATGAAGCAAGGAGTCTCCCGCTCTGCTCACCAAACTCTCCAATGAGAGTTTTAGATTAAGATTGCAACTGTGTTACATTTGAATTAGCCACTATTAATTTCTTACTTCCAAGGAAGGTTGGTGTTGCCCTAGATGACAAAAAGTCTAATGCTAACTTAATTTGCACTGTACTGATTGAATAGCATTTGAATTTCTAATAGTAAATTCTCAATTGAAACAATAAACATGTTTCAAATTTATGCCTAAACTTTCATTAATGCTTTTGTTCATACTGTATAACTTGTTTAATCTTGGATCTTATAATTATATATAAACAAACAAACAATTATTTGCCTAGTATGAAAGTTGGGCCATAATTGCATTTTCCAATCCTTTGTAATAATTGTTGCTAGGTATTTCAATCCATCTCGACTGATATGAAATTCAATAACTTTCTAAAACTATGTGATTCTTATCACTATAAATTACAATTTATCCATACTTGCCATTTTGTGAAATTCATAATTGAGTTGAGATATTCTCTTTTTGTTTTCCTAAGAAAAGCATGCATGTAATCTACAAACAGGTTAATTATGTGATGTTAAATGTTCTTATTTTTTCTAATATTCTGTGCTAATGCTTCAAGAGGAAGACTGAACAGATAGGTGCTTGTGAGCATCCTTGTCTGGTATCTTTGCTTATTTGAAGAGTTAAGTATCCCATTCATTTGTCCCAGGGAACCTAAGGGTCAGCCACCCATCTGATAAAGGTCTGTGTATCCCACTAACTTCTGCAGTCCGAAGACCATTTGTATTTCTGGCAAAGGAAGAACATTCTGTCACACGGACTTACATTCTTTCTGCCTAGGGAATACACACTGGATGTTTATCGACTGTCCTCTGTTGTCACCCAGCATGATGCCAAGAAGGCTGGCGCAGAAGTGGTGAAGCAAGTGGAGCATCCCCTCCTTAGTGGTCTTCTCTACCCTGGGCTGCAGGTACTTCGTGATAACCCTGAAGTAACTTTCAAGGGCCGCATGAGGCCCTTGAAGGTAGAAAGAGACATCCGCATGTTTAGCCAACTGATAACATTTATCTATTTAGAAAGCGCGTTCAGAGTTTATAGTAGGTGTGCAGGGCCTAGCACTTGTAGAGCAGTGAGAGTAGTACAAATAGTCTGCTTTTAAGCCTATTAGAAGTGCTCCAGCCTTGGACTTCCCTAATCTTTGTAGAGTAGGAACATCCCAGGATTTGAGGGGCACACATCTTTGAGGTGCATATGTGAATTTATTTCCCAGCTGAGTTTCATTTGCAAATGTTCTGGGGACTAAAGAATAGTAGGCTGCATAAAAACTAAGACACTGATTATGGTTGAACATTTTGATGAAATAAAGGAAATGGTAAACATTCTTGTTTCTTCACGGTTAGCCTCTGGAACTCATTGCCTCTCAGTTATGGCCATTGCACATGGTATCTTATGAAGAACGAGCAGGGAGCGCTCTGTTAAAGTCAGTGGGTACCTAAGGCGTCCTTTCATCTTGATGTTGCTGCAGGCACTGGATGAAGAGTACCTGAAGGTTGATGCACAATTTGGAGGAGTGGATCAGAGAAAAATTTTCACTTTTGCAGAAAAGGTGAGAACAGAGATACTCTTCCAAGCAGCGAAGGACTGCTAGCCAAAGTTCTGTTGCCCTTGGTTGTAATATAGTGCCCCATGGCTTGGCCAAGATATTTTCCAGGAGCTCTGGCCTCCCCAGCATGGGATGAGCACGACCCCCTGGGATGTTCTCCCTGCCCAGAGAAAGACCAAGTGTGATGGCTGTGACCCACAACTGAGGCCCTGGGTTTCAGGCAGGAGGGGGCATTCCTTTGGCAGTCTGCCTTCCCTCTTCAGCCCTTTTCCTGGAGAAGTCTCTTGAGTCTCTTGAGCCTCTTCGTTCACTAAGCCATATCTCTTCCTTTGAGTCACTGGATTGGTTGTGTGTGATGCGTGCCTGTGTGTTTTTCTCTCTGCTGTAGTACCTTCCGTCCCTGGGCTATGCAAAACGCATCCACCTGATGAACCCCATGGTGCCCGGATTGACGGGCAGCAAAATGAGCTCTTCGGAAGAGGTGGGTTCCCAGCAGCCTGTGCCTGTGGGTGGGGGAGCTGTCCTGGGCTGACCCTCTCAGTGGTTTTCAGGCACGCTCATAGGGCAGGTAATCAATAAAACAGGGTACAGGAAGGGGAGTCATAAGCCAAGTAAAGTTATACAGAAAGTATATTGAAGAAATGAAAGGAGGAAAAAATTAAAAACTTGAAGGAATGAAGAAGAAACCAATATCCAAAACCATGTTTTATCAACAGTGAGACAGTGTGGCTAACATCAAAAGAACAGCCTCATTTTTCCAAGCAAAAGAAGGGTCTGCCTGTTTTCATGAACATATTTAGTGAATTCTTACATAACAGCGGAATCCACCCAGTTAAACGGCTGCTCTTTAAATCCAGTATATCTGGTGGTGCCCAGAATGTAGCCTGCAGTCTTCCTTGGTCAGCAGAAGGAGCAGACCGGCAGGTTCTTTAGGTTGTTGTTGCACAAGAGATGCAGGGCAGGTGGGACCTGCAGCAAAATATTGCAGGTGGATGGTTCAGATTCCAGCTGATCATTCACACAGTCAAAGGAAATATAATGAAGGAGAAGAGGCCAGGGAGTGATAATCAAGGATTCAGTCAAAATCACGGGGTAGATATTACACACATGATATTAACCCTGTAATGGCTTTATATAAATACACCCTATTCCAACCCTATCATGGTTCCTCTTATTTGTTTAAAAACTCCAAATAGTTTTGAGGCTTGTGTATAAAGAGGCTAATTTCTGAGCATCTTCTCTTTTTCTCTTCCTTTTTAGGAGTCTAAGATTGATCTCTTGGATCGAAAAGAGGATGTGAAGAAGAAGCTTAAGAAAGCTTTCTGCGAGCCAGGGAATGTGGAGAACAATGGGGTCTTGTCCTTCATCAAGCATGTGCTCTTCCCCCTCAGAGCAGGTAAAGACTCCCAAGCAGCCAAAGGCGTGTGGCAAGAGGGTTCACATTGGGCCTTGAGAAGGTGGGAGAGGAGGATGGGCAATCTGGCCAGGAGAACAGGGAGCCCAGAGACTCTTTTCTTCCTGCGCATTCTCACTACGTACTGCCAGCTGAAACCCTGAACAGCAGGAATGATGCATCTGCCTGGTGGCATTCTGGGATCCTGGGGAAGTCTCTTTAAAGCAGTAAAAGAAGTCAGTGGTGGGCCAAGTTAGGGATCTCTGTGTGAGAGTCCATCTGCCATGTAGCTAATCAATTCGGTTAAGATCCACCTTCTTGTAACTTCAACTTTTAGTATGGTCCTTCCTGTGGGGATAACAGAAATTTAAGTCGTCTTCCTCTTTTACATGGTAGTGCTTCCGGAAGTGTTACGTGCTCATTCTAGCTCCTCTGTCCAGGCTAAGCGGGTTCTTCCCTCCTCCCTCACTGAAATTATTTTCCATACCACTGTCTGCCTCTGAACCTTTTGTGATTTATCTACCACCTTCAACCCTGGATTGGTCATAGTCTTCCAGGAGAAGTTTGGCCTAACACCCAGAGCTCTGAAATGAAATTTAAATCTTTTGGACTCTGGTGAAGAACCTGTTTGGCCTGGAGTCAGTGATGCAGAGAGTCTGGTGGGCGTCAAGGGAAATAATTGTAGGTTGTTGAGATGCTCAGTACCCACACTGGATACTAAATGTGAACTTACGTGTGGTGGCATCTGCAGCTCTTGTTAACAGACATCTTCACTTTTTTGTAGAGTTTGTGATCTTTAGAGATGAGAAGTGGGGAGGAAATAAAACTTACACGAGCTACGGGGATCTCGAGAAGGACTTTGCTGAGCAGGTAACATCTGGAATGGCTCCAGGGTCAGAAGAGCTAGAGTTGCTTGCTTTGGGTTGTATGTTTGATACAAACTCTGATTTCCTTCACTGCACTCATGGAGAAATTTTGCTAGCTGTGCTTTACTCTCAGATGTTTGAAGGAAAACCATCTTTCATTCTGCATACTTAGTAGAGCTGGACACTGTCCAAACTGAGTCACAGAGAGGTGTGACTTAGAATTATATTTGACATCCTTCATATACCAACAGTATATGCAAGTCAGTTTAATGCAAACACAGATATTTTCTTATAATTTGCATCAGATTGATGTAGAACAACATAGGGCCAGTTTGCATATAATAAACAGAAATAGTTTAGAATTCTAGTTTATTGGGGACAAGCAGGTGAATCGGTACGTATTGCTTGATATCTCTCACTTGGTTTCTCTCACCAGCCGAAGAGGCTAAATAAATCAGGATGTCTACAGTTTATTCAGTTGTTAATCAACCTGAAATCTCTGGTTTGTGAGGGTTGAGGCTGTCAAAATGGAGAGCAAAGAGACTAGATAAAATGGTTAAGCACAGTACAAGTGCCCTCCTTATTCCAATCTCTTACCACAAAAGGTGGGAGAAAGATTTAAACTCTGGGACTGATCTACTGTCTGTTGAATTAAAGTTGGGCATCATGGGGATTTATGTAATTTTTGTGATAACATCACCACATAAATGACATTATGCAAATGATGTAAATTGCAGCAAAAAAAATTGGACTGCTGCATGCAAAGTCCATGGTATCCAGTTTTCATAAATCTTCTGCGTCAGTAATACTAGTTTGCAGTAAAGCTATTATCTAACCATGCCGAGTCCTTAAAATTCTGCAGTTAGCTAGTTACTGAGTGCAGGGAATTGAGTATCTGAAGAGAAACTAAGGAGTGCTCATTCCCATCAAGCTTATTCAGTCACAGCAAGCCAGAATTCTAAAGTATTATTATTGCTGAATGAGACAAATACTTTTCTGTGGAACAAATCCTTTCTTTTTAAAAATGTTCTGTGTTTCATAACTAGCCTTCTAGCTAGGGCACATAGATGTAAATATGCACATTTCTCCTTCGTTCAGTTGGTCTTGTAAAATAAATTCTGATTTAATTGTCCCCGGTGTTGAGAAGGGAGGCACAGACAAAGGAAGACTACTAAGAAGCCACAGGGCAGTACAAGTATGGGGCGCTATGCAGACAGATGGCATCCGAGAAGGGCTAATTTGTTCTGCTTCTTCGATCTTGTGAGCAGATTGTCCATCCTGGGGACTTGAAGAACTCTGTAGAGGTGGCCTTGAATAAGCTCCTGGATCCCATCAGAGAGAAGTTCAGCAGCTCACAAATGAAGAAACTCACCAGCTGTGCATATCCTGATCCATCCAAAGCAAGTAAGGGCTGCAAGAAGGGTGGGAGCTACATCCAGTCTAGCCTTCCACATGCCTAGTGGGCAGGATGCAGTCTGAGGCTGGGGCTTAAGGCGGGAAGTCCTGCTCCTCAAAGAAGGCCCTACCCCGAGACCTCCTCCATTTCTCTGGGCAGCAGGAGACAAGAGCAGTTTTGCTTTGCATTCTCCAATGTGGAGAAAAGTACTCTGTGCCAGAAACCATGGAAAGCCATGCCCCGTGGGGTCTGCACGGAGTGGCATATCTGTGGTGCAGGGTCCCCAGTGAGAAAAGGTGACTGGCAGGAGCCACACAAAGGCTTCTCCATTAAGCTTCCAGCAGCTCCGGGAGTGTTTGCTGACTGGGTCATTCCTCAGCTGGGGATGGGCTCGGCAACCAGACCAGGAATGCCAGGAGGAGAAGCGACTGGCTGGCTGGCTGGACCAAGTGTTCTGAGCTAAAGATGCCTGCAGTGGTTGGCTGGGTTTGTGCAGCACGCTGGGTGAGGCTAAAGTGGGGTAAGACTCTTTGGGATGTGGCACTTGGGGGAATCAGGCAGCCATTAAGCAATAATAAGATTTATTTCATAGCTTTTTTTGGCTTATTTATTTGAAGGCAGAAAATCAAAAACAAAAGCACACCAAGTTAAAAGGGAAAACAACCAAGACGAGATACTGTTAATATAGATACAAATAGTTTGTGTTTACCCTTAACCTTAGGTCTTTTCAAAGCTCTTGATCGTGTTAATTTTTCAGACAGGCATCTCCCACCGATCCAAAGAGAGATGTGCTTACGGCTTTGCAATAATGAACCTAACGGCAAACAACAGGAACCGAATCCATTTTTATATTGTGTCAGTGTACAGGCATTGGGAATCATGCACACTGCACCAACAGTAGGGTTCACTGTAAAGATTGTTGAGTGGGTTTTTCCCATTTCTTCCAAAGCTTTTGATCAAAAGAACTAATTAAACATTTCTACCAAAGATTGTTAGATGTGCCAATTTGTTTGCAAGCCTTCCAGCGCAAGCCAGATGGGTTACAGTTTAAAATAGCATGATATGAGAGAGCAGAAGTTGACCCCGTAGGGTAATTTGCTCAGTCTTACCTCTTCCCGCATCTTCTACACCCCCCAAAGGCAATGAGGGAATCTGTTTTTGTGTGCCCATGGGTTTGATTCTTCTCTGCGCCCCCCTCCACCTCCATTTTGCCTTCTCACTCTTCCCCCTCCTCACTGGCGCATTGCGCAACTGTCTGTTTGAAGCAGAAGCATCCTATGCTTCAGTTGCTTTAAGGAGGCCAGGCTGGTTTGGCTCAGCATACCAAAGCAGGCTGTTACTTTTTGAAAATCCAGCTCCTCTGATGGAACCCCTTCCTTTCTCTGCTGTTTACTTGCAGAAGCTGCTGTGAAAGGCTCCACAAAGAACTCTGACTCCGAGGAAGTAGTACCGTCCCGAGTGGACCTCCGGGTTGGCAAAGTGCTCAGCGTGGAAAAGGTGAGGTGCTGGTGCCACCGTTTGTGGGTGCTTGCAGAGTTATGTCTGCCACGCTAGAGGCTCTTGTTTAAGTTCCCATTGCTGGACCCTGATGCTACTGTTCTGATGCCTGCAGCATCCTGATGCTGATACTCTGTACGTGGAGAAGATTGATGTGGGGGAGCCCGGACCCCGTACCGTGGTCAGTGGTCTGGTAGAGTTTGTGCCCAAGGAAGAGCTCCAGGACAGGCTGGTGGTGCTAGTTTGCAACATGAAGCCCCAGAAGATGCGGGGAGTGGAATCCCAGGCCATGCTGCTTTGCGCTTTCAGGTAGGCAAAGGAAGTGGGGCAGGGCTTGGGTGGAGTTGGGGAGCAGACAGCCTGCTCATGGAAGCATCTTCACTTTGTACTCGCATGTGTTCCCCCATGGATATGTTCTTTCTCCATTGTCTCAGTTCTGGGGATCCCTGCCAAGTAGAGCCCTTGGATCCACCAGCAGGCTCCTGTCCTGGAGAACGAGTATTTGTAGAAGGCTATGAAAACGGCCAACCGGATGATGAGCTGAAACCCAAGAAGAAAGTATTTGAGAAGCTGCAGGTAAGCAGAGAAGCCCCATCTTGGTGCAGATTTACCCTGAGTCCTGAGCAGCACCCACCTTAGTGGTTGGTCACCCAAACAACTCCCCTTGCCTCGGTGTGCTGTGCATCCTAAGGCTGGCTGGAACAGCCTTTGCAGAAGGGCTCAGGAGCAGTTGGAAGAGCTTGGGCATATGCACGGGGCTGCCTATCGCAAATCATACTGGAAGGACAAATGGTGCACATACACTTCCTGTGAAAGAGTGGGCTGGAGGTTTCTGCTTTAAGTGATGCCAGACCTGTGTCTTTGAAGGATCTCAGCACTTTGCATGGCCCATTAATTCTTTGCTCCCTTCGGAGAGGAAGAAGGAAGCATTAGGGATGGGAGGCACTGGAAATACTTCATAGCGTTATTTCCAGTTCTGGAATAAGAACAATGAGGTTGGATGTCCTGATCCACTTTTAATGGATGTTGGAGAATTGGAGAATGGCAGATTCAAAGTAATTAGGTTGATTATGTGGGGATAATAGTGTGATGTATACTCTTGCTCAGTCTTGGCAGTTGCATTCACACACAATGCTAGGTCATAATGTGCTTTGCTTATTCTTCACTTAGGGAAATTTGTGAAAGAGAATCTACTGCTTACAAATCACAGTAGCTGAATTCATACATCACACCAACTCAGAAGGCCTCTCTGGCTTAGTGTGGCCTCTGGAGCCCTTCCAGCGGTTGCCATCAAAACATAACTTTAATGTAATTGTAGAAAAGAAGGAAGATGACCTTGGTGGAGTTATGCCAGCTCCGTTGCCAAGGTAACAAGGAGCAAAACAAAGTCCACAACAGATGAATAATATTTGGAAGAAGCTCAGACAGACACTAAACAAAGTTGAGTTTCTTTCTGACACCTGCTTCAATCTCTCGACTGTGTAATCACTTCCCCAAGTCCCTCCTTCAATGGCTCTTTCCGACCTTCCCGAAAATCAGCTCAGAATTCCTTTGCCCAGGATGACCCTGCATTTCTGCAATTGGTTTTCCCCCAAAGTTGGGCTAAGAGAGAGTGACTCACCCCCCCATCACTCAGTGAGCTTCCAGGTCTGAGGAGGACCTTGAACCTAATCCTCCCATCCTAACCAAACTTCTTAACCCACCACACTACACCAGCCACATGTTGCAACTCAGGAGCTGTACCGTTGAGCAAACATGCTTAGGAACAAACTGTCTTTGACGTTGGGCCTGACGCCGTCTACCTTTTTCTCCTCAGGCTGACCTCCAGATTTCTGAGGGCTTTGTGGCCCAGTGGAAGGGGAAGAACCTTATGACCAATCTGGGGAACCTGACGTGCAAATCTCTGAAAGGGGGCAGCATCCGCTAGAGCCCCCAGCCTGCCCCTCTCCTCTGCCCAGTGTCATTTCCTGCCCATCACTCTTCTCTGTGCTTCCATCGGCCTCCCAGGCAGTGATCCTTGTGCAGCTGCCTTTGACCCAAGAAATCATGAACAGGCTGGACCTCCTGCCTTCAGTGCAGTCAGAAAGGAAAACAACTTCTAGCAGTGGCTGGAGCACTGGGACTCCTTACTCTCGCAGTGGGCTAAAGGTCTGTTTGTGCTGGGGAAGAAAGAGCCTGTTGCTTCGTTTCACTGACTGTTTGGTGAAGGTGATGAAAGCTTCTCCTTTTCAAATGTCCTGGGAGAATGAGAAGCCCCACCGTTGAGACTGATCTCCCCTCTGTGGGGAGTTGCTTCCCCCAAACGGTTGCAGTCTTAGGTTCAGGTAATATGGGAGGTCTCGCTTCTTTAACCTCTGCTGCTTCTGTTGAGCTTGGATCCAGGCTGGCCAACATGTAGGACAGTGTTTCTCAACCTTGGCAGCTTTCGGAGGTGTGGACTTCGGAGCCAGGCTGGGGAATTCTGGGAGTTGAAGTCAACCCCTCCGAAAGCTG